ACCACTAGTCGATGAACTCCGGTGGCATCGCTGGTGGTCATCCTCGAGCTCCGGTAGGGAAAAATCAACTGATTGGAAGTTTGTAGCTAGAGTGCCTTGTCACTCTCGGCTAGAACAGTTGCACGCTACGCCGATCTGCTTGAGTACGATTGCGACAGTGGTGGTTGAACCGCAACTAGGACGATGAGGCGGAGATTCTGACGGTGAGGTGGAGATCTGGACAACGAGGCGAAGATCCGGACGGCGAGGCGGAATAGCTACCTGTACGGTAAGGCGCAACGGCGGCTTGGGATGGTGAGGTAGAGTGGCGATGAAGAGAACCTTTAGGTCCTGGAGGTGCAGATGAATGGGAAGCTACGACGCGCGGGAAATGCTATATATATGAGGGATATTTTAGCCATTTTAACTTAATTCAGTCATTTTTTGTCCAAATTTAAAGTAGATCTTATTTTCGTCTTTCCATTTTATGGTGGTATTATTTTGGTCATTATTTCAATTTTATCATACTTTTTAGTTCATTTGTGTGAATCAATGAAAAGGCATCAAATATACAACATTGGAAGAATGGATTGTATGGGCGTTACACACGTTTTTTATTAGAAAGTTATGAAAACTTATTTTACTATTTAGTGAATGTCCCACAAATAATCTCATAATTAAGGTGATGGTTGAGGGGATTTAATAAATTTTAAGATCATTTCAGATTTTTTATGTGATAATGATGTGGCTAAGAAAATCTGTTTATTTAAAGAGCATGAATGGGGATGCTCTAACTAACGTCAACAAACATACTCCTAACTTTGGGCAACGATTGAGGAGACCTATATCATCTTAGCAATTACTCTTAAATAACGATAGACAGAAATTTGAAAAAGTCATGGTACCATATAGTGAAGTTTGGTAGACATAAGTTTCTACCTTCTAGCTTTGGTACCATTTATAAAGACTCTTAAAAAAATCATTTTTTTGGAAGCTACACTGAGCAACATCTGAGAAAATTATATAGCTTTTAACATTAATTAGTCACAACGGTTTGTTATACCAAACGAAACTAAATCAAAAAGTCGACTTGTTATCAAACACCTATAACTCTTTTCTTTCAAGATCTTTTCAGTTAGTAAAAGCTAATATAACAGTCATCCATAGTTATATTAAACGATTGAACTTGTTCTCCATATTTTTAAAAATGTTTTTTTTTCATAATTCAGCAAATTCAACCAATTTAGCCGCTTCAACAAAACCTTCATCTATTTCAGTGGGTTTATTTCAAAAATATTACTAATATAATATATATTTACAAAAATATGACTAATAGTTACTACAATGTAATGTCATGGTAACTCAAATTTAAAAAATGAACATAAGATACTATGATTTCATTACTATTTTAGTCACTAGTCATATTTTTGTAAATAATCCCTATTTTAGTCATAAATACGTCATAATTTCTATTTTTATTAATATTACTAATATAAATACATTTTTTTGGAATATTATTCTAAACCTATTATAGTATCTGTTCTTGTTAATGCCAACATCCTTGATTGGGATGCGACTCGAACCTGCGACCTCGTCTTTGGAAGATCAGCAGTGATGCCATCAGACCACAAGATACTTGACTCATAAAGTATATAAATACAGAGTATATGACTTCTTTGAAATATTCCAAAAAGTGAGTCGTTGCATTGATAATTTCTTTTGATTTAGTTTTTCATTTATTATTTTAACAATACATTTATTTATTATAATTAAACAAAATTAGTAAATGTCATCCCATCACTTCCACCTAGCCAAACCACAACTTCATCCCAGCCCATCTACATTAGTCACTCAAGACAAATCCTGATTCTAATAAAAATGCCTCTTTCATTTACCAAAAAGTTACAGCGCTTGTCACTACAGATGAAGAAGGATGGATGAAGAAATGGTGGACCATGGCTAAGAGAAGAAAACGAAGACGACCCAACCATAGAAGAGAGTGAAGTGATATGGCGCATGGAGAAAACGACCCATCCCAAAAACCACAAAAACCAGACAATTTTTACTTTTCTAATTTCCACTCAACTTAAACTTGGTAAAGTTGACTGGAAAGGAAGGAAACTCATGAGTGAGTGAGTAATCACACACAAAAGAGGGGCTGATGATGGGCTGATGTGACTATTCATTGTCTTGTAGTGATGGAGAAGATCGGATGCAACTGTAATTGTTACAAACTTGGTAGGAAGGATTTCATATCCATTCTAGTCACTTTTTTGTCTAAATAAAACTTAGTCACAACCAATTTTTAAAAAAAGAAAAAAAGTACTAAAGTGACTGTTATTTCTTTTAAACAAATTATCTAGTAGCCATGATCAAACGCCCTAGTGATCACCGTCTCCGTTTTTAAACATGTACCATTTTTTTTGAAAAATAAAGATGTTTAAAATTGAAAATAAGATCGGTCCGTTAAAAGAAGAAAACCCTCTGCTCTCCGTACTTTGCAAAAAACGGAACAAAATGTAAACTTTCCGTACTTCACAAAAATAAAAACATGAATCGATCAATTGAATGAATGCAATAAATGTATAAGAGATCAACAATAGTTTCAATGTAAAAATGAAAAACCGCTCCCTTGTGACTCTGTCTTTTTGTATTGTAACAAATCCAAATATACAAAGTTTAGAATACTATTAGGTTTCTGATGTTTTGTTAAAACATGCAATTCAAAATTAAGATTTTTCTAAACATAAGTTTTTCTAGTATAAACTTCTACATACACATAACCAATAATAAACGTAGGAGCCGCACAACTTTAATTTCTTCTACGTCATTGGTCTTGATGATCAAAGACGATGAGTTTAACTTCAGTGTTATTTGATGAAGATGATGATGTTAACTTGATCTCTTTTAATTATTATCATGCGTCATTTTTTAAATGTTCTTTGTCAAATTATATCTTGGACTTCAGTGTTACTACTCCTTCCGTCCCTTAAAAGTTTGACAAGTTTGATCGACACGTGAAATAATAAAGTAAGAACTATGTATTAAAGATTTCTGGTGACATATGGTCTTATAATGATGGAGAAGATCAGATGCAACTTTAATTAGGGTTACATATACTCCCTCCGGTCCTTAATTAACTTTACACTTTCCTTTTTGGGCCGTCCATATTAAACTTTACACTTCCTTATTTGCATTATTTGGCAAACAAATCTACACCAAACAGTGTAAAACAGTGTCAAATAGTGTCAAACAGTGTAATCTACAGTAAAATCAAATTTATTTTCTTAATATGTTTGAAGTCAAAATGTAAACTTCATTAAGGACCGGAGAGAGTAAATGATTCTATATCTATCATTGTCACTCTTCTAAGTAAAACTTATTCATCAAAATAGGGCCATTTAAAAAAAATAGAAAAAGAGACTAAAGTGACTTTTATTTCTTGTAAACCAAAGTGGCGCTACTACTTACCTAGGTTGTGACAATGACCAAATGCTCGAGTGATCACCGTCAAACAGTCACCTCATCGAACCGTGACCATCACTGCTCGCAGTGACCTGTTTTTCTGTTACAACTATTAACACAACAACCGCCCCTAACCTATCGCTCCCCGACCAGTTGACTGCACTGCTCTGAATTGAAGCTGCCCACCATTGACCCGTCGTTGACCAATCACATTTTTGAAAAAAAAAATTACTCATATTTTAATTTAGGGAAAATTCCATAAATGGGACTAGATGAAACTTTAATTGCCAAAATAAGACCATAACTTAAAAATTCTCTAAATAGGACTAGCTTTTCAATTCTACCCTTCCTTTGTTTTAATACAATTCATATTTCATTAATAATTAAAATATAATGTAATAACATAATTTTATTTATAAATGTAAAAAAATAAAAAACACGAAATAAATATGAAATAAAATTAATAAAACTAAAAAAAATCGAAAAATAAAAAATTATAATACAAAAAACTTAAAAAATTAAAATAAAATAAATAAAAAATGAAAAAAAACATTAAAAAAATATGTAGGGCTATGCTGCCACCTCAGCAACCTCCCAGCTCATCCAGCTCCGATCGCCGGGAAAAAATGCCAACATTTGTCCAAAAGCCATCTTGATGGCAGTTTCGAGAGAATTTTCACATTTTAAAGAGTAAAAATCCCATATTCATGGTATTTTCAGAGACTATGGGAGAGGCCTCCATTTTTTTTTATATATTTTTAAGGCCTTTTGTCTATTTTTTATTTATTTTAAAGTTAAAAAGGTACCTTTTTATTTTTATTATTTTTTCTATAAGTTAAATTATCATTTACAACTCGGAATCTAAATGACGTTAATGAAAATGTAACTTGAGGCAAGTCAAAGGTTAGGTGAAATTGTAATTAACTTGTGGCAAGTGAGAATGTAAGCTGTTTAATTATATAAGATATATAGCTTGAAGAAAAGTTGCAAGCATTCAAGTACAAATATGAGCATTTGTACTTGAATGCTTGAAAAATGTACATTTGTTTGGAAGAAAAAATGTACATTCTATTTTAAATTATTAAAACTTCACTTTTGAATTAATGGAGATAAAATAAAATATATTGCATCATGTACAAATCTCTTGCCTACATTATCCCTACTTGTACAAATCTCTGGACCAAAATATATTGTATCATCCCATGTACAATTACATGGACTTTAAAAGTTAAGAAAACAAGGTTGTCCTTTTCCAAATGTAGACACGCACTTGGTCAATATTTACAATAATGAATCAACTCCAAAAGAAAAGCATAATGTTTCCTAATTAAAATTTTTCATGTTTAAAAAATATAAAAAAGAGAGAAATTAGGTCAATATTATTTTTTTTATAATCCAGGTGTCGGGGCTTACGCTCCCATAATTCTGAAATCTATGAACTACCCCCCAAATTAAAGCCCCTAAGACAGTTAAATCCGGATCAATATTATTTGATACCAATTGACTTGCACTCCTATAAATATTTCATTTCCTTAAACAATAGGATCACACATAAACAACTACTACGAGCAGTACAATGGATTCTCACTCGACTACAATTCCAACCTTTGTACTCTTTATCATTGTTTTTGCGTTTTCATTTGCTTGTGCCTACGATCCAAGTCCTGTTCAAGACTTCTGTGTTGCAAATCCAAAAGCTAATGGTACTTAATTCTCATACCATTCTTACTTCTTAGTTAGTTATAGCTAGCTCCTATATATTTGATGTATATTATTATCATTATAAATTACTGTATTTGAAACCACATTGCCATATAATGACATCATCAGACCTATTTACTCATAATTAGGGGAAAAAATAGCAATTCTATTTAGGATAATCACCTTAATTACTTGTCGTCCGTTTTAGGTCAATTTCCTAACAACATCTATACCTTATACACACACACATACGGAGTATATATTTAGTTTGTCACAAAACATATACTATGTCCCTCAATTATTAATTTGGAGGATTTCTGTTTTTACTTTTACAATTTTTATCTTAATTCGACATCTGCATGGTTCAAGATCGAGTATATTAACTTCGAGAAAATTCCCCTCTTTAGAAGAAGTAAGAGGGCAGATCATATCACGTCGGAATCGTCGTTAGGCCAATGTCATTTGGCGTCCTTTCCGGTGATTTTTTTTGATGAAATGTTTTGAGTATGTTCTTAAGTCTAATTTATGCATACCAAATTTCAGCTAAAAATTCAATCGGAAATTAAAGACAATTAAAGAAGTTCTTTATAATAACATCATAGTTTGTTTCAAAAATTTATTTGACCACCGCCTTCCCGATTGAATTTTAAGCTTGAATTTATTTGATGGACATAAACTAGACTTTATTATAAGCATGGTAAAAAAAATAATAAAAAAACTCACTCGGCCGGATGGTGAGTCCTGTGAACCGGCCTCACAAGATGGCTACTATAGAAGTAACACATACACAAAATGCAACAATAGAACTTCTATCCCATTCATAGTTTACATACATATAAGAGAGGCAGACAAGCAACATTGGCATATAGGGCGGCAGTCGCCATCTCCGGATTCTCCGGTGCCACCGCCAGTGTCGCCGCCGCCTATCACCACCGTCGTCTCATCTGACATCGCCACCGTTTCAATAGGCGTCACCAGACTCACCACCACCTAATTAATCGAGCGCCACCATCCCTCATATGCGCGGTCTCCAACACCACCGCAGCCTCCTATAGGGCGGGCCACTCCATATCCCAGACCTGGAATATAATGTTTAGCCACTCGATCAATTAGGACTCTCATCTGGCAGCGCCACCATGCATCCCCCATATGCGCGACCAGCTCGCTCTCCAACACCACCGCAGCCTCCTGTAGGGCGGGCCACTCCATATCCCAGACCTGGAAAGTTTAGCCACTCAGTAACTACGGATAACTAAGGGTGTTTTTACTTGAAATAAATCAATCAGGACTCTGATCTTGTTTAAAACAATTTCTTACTAACTCATATTTAGTGCAGTTTTTGTGAATGGGATGGCATGCAAAGACCCAAAGCTTGTAACAGTGAATGATTTCTCCACGTCGGGTCTGGATAAGGCGTTGAAACAGGAGCCATCGATTTCAGGTGCAATGTATAGCCGCGCCAGTGTCGCAGAAATACCTGGGCTCAACACTCTCGGGCTCACAATGATCCGTAACGAGTTCCAGCCAGGGATCGTCACCCAACCCCACACCCACCCTCGAGCCACAGAGATGGTCTTTCTCTTACAAGGGAATATGTACTTTGGATTTGTGGCCGTTGACCCAAGTGATCCCACCAAAAACCGTATATATGCAAAGGAATACAAAACCGGAGATGTATTTGTGATACCCCAAGGCCTTGTTCATTTTGGTCAAAATATTGGTAATGATACAGCAATTACCATTACAGTTTGGAACAGCCAAAATCCAGGTTTCAACTATGTGCCACAACAGCTCTTTGGAAATGACACAGCAATCCCTGATGATTTATTGGCCAAGTCTTTCCGAGTGGATAATGATCTTGATGTTAAAGTAATTACACAAATTAAGTCACATTTCTGATCTCTTGTTCATGGAAAGAACAACCGATCTTCAGCTAAATGATCTTCAACAGTTTCGTATACTATATAAGCACGGCCATATCATGTGTTTTTTGTAATTCTCATTCAACTTTAATTTCAGTCTTATTAATTAATGCACTCTTTCAGTTTTATTAATACCTTGTACTCTGGTTGTTTCAAAAATTATAAGGTCATATAATGTTCATCTCTTTTTATTTTATACACACACGAGTGTGACGTTTATAAAAACGTGAAAATGTTTGATAATTATTACAAATGAGCATAACAAACACTTCATATGAGTTGACATTAATTATGGGTATACGTTTGAAGTGATTTTTACATTATACCCAAACATTTTCAAGAATTGCGCATTGGTATGATTAATATTTTGAAATGAGTACAAAAGAATCACTGGTTAACCATATGCTATTGATGAATTGTGCATTGATATGAGATAAGGGCGTCCTCATCCATGAGTTTATTTGAAGATCAATTGGATGATGTGTAAGATTATTTTAAAGATTATCATTGTGTGTGGGGGATTATTTAGTGAGATTATTAAAAATTAAAATCCGGTATCAAGATTCCAATCCCGGATTATTTTAGATTGTAGTTAAATTACATTTAATGCATGTCCGGGAAAAATCGATTATTTGAGTATTATTGTTGATGAAGAGTTTTAAACTTTAAGATTATTCAAAATTTATTGAATAAATGTGATGTGACAATGATGTGTAGTAAAAAAATCATTTATTTAGAGAGCATGAATGAAGATGCTCTAAGTGGAGCAAAAAAAATTAGCACACATGCAAGTCTTTTAAGTTTTAACCTAGTACTTATGTACTAGACCGTACGTACACATAATACATTCATTAAATTACAAGGAAAAAGGGGCGCACAAATAAGTCCACGTACTAACAAAAAAGGTCAAATAAGTCCGTATATAGGAGACTATTTTCGGCCGTCGTCATTTGGGGCGGTTCCCGATGGAAATTTTTTATGCAATTTTTTAGCATATTATTCATTAAGTCTAGTTCACTCATACCAAATTGCAGCTAAAACTTCAATCGGGAAGACATTCAAATGAATTCTTGAAGATAACTATGCAATTAAAAGCGCACTTATCTTCAAGGATTTATTTGAATGCCTTCCCAATTAAATTGCTAGCTGAAATTTGGTATGAGTAAACTAAACTTAATGAATAATATTCTCAAAACATTTCATCAAAAAAATCCATCAGGAACTACCCCAAATGGCGACGGCTGGACAGAGCCTCTTATATAAGAGCTTATTTGACCTTTTTTGGTTAGTACGTGGGCTTATTTGCCCCTTTTTCCAATTACAAATAAACTTATGAAAAAATGACTAGACTATTAGTAATGGGCTTTCATTTGACAAGAATATGACCCTCTTTCCCGTTGGACAAATAAATGACTAAATGTTGGAGAAATGGTCAAAAATAGCCTCATGTATAAGTTAATTTGCGATTACACCCAAAATCAAATAATGTCCTTCTCGATCTTCTCTCACTGCTGCGCCACAGTCGAGACCCGTTGGCTTCCATTCTCAGAAGAAAACAAATGGCGGCTTAGCTCCAACAGAGATGGCTTCAATAGCGATCTATGCTCCACCGGGAACATCTCTCGGAGCTGACACGACGATACATTGGAGACAGCTAGGGTTTGGAATCACGGCACCACGCGACTCGGGCTTCTTGGATGAAGATTTCAATTTGCACCGTGTGATGGAGGTTGGCTGGCGGCGGCGATGCGGCGGTTGCGGAGGTTGGAGAGGGAGGGTGTGGCTATGGATGGGAAGGGGGTTGGGCCGCTGGATAGGGGTTGGGGATGGGGAGGCTGAAAAGGGGGCTGTGTGCTTGGGTGCTGGGGAGGGCCAATGTGGGGAGGCGACAGTCACCGTCGGGGGGCGCGACGGTAACCTGAGTTGGACTGTTGGGGAGGTGGATGGGGCTGGAGAGGCAGCTGCAGGCTAGGGAGGCGGGAGGGCGATGGAGAAGGGGCTGGGGAGGGAGTTGTGGGCTGAGGAGTGTCACTATCGCGGCGGCAACTATAGGGCACAGCGGCAAAGGTGAACGATTGTCGGTGCAACGGCGGTGACAGGTCATTGGGGCTGTGAGTCTAAATGTCATTGTGTTCGGTGTCCATGTCACTATATCATTGTGGGTAAATCACTATGATCGAAGTCACTTTGTCACTTTTATTGGTGTCACTTTCACCAAAACAATTGTGTCACTATGGTCATTGTACTGGTAGTAACTGAGACAATATCATTGGAACACTAGTAACTATGGCGGTGGTCACTGAAGCGTTAGTTACCAAACGGTGTCACTAGAGCGATTATAGTAACTCGGGAGTGGGCAATTCAGTGGTAGTAGTAACTGAGACGGTGATCACTGGAGCAATAGTAACTGGAATAGTTGCCACTAGAGCGATAGTAACTGGGACGAAGTCACGAGAGCATTATAATAACTAGGACGCTGATCACTTGAGCAGTAGTAGTAACTGGGACGGTGCTTATTGAAGCTATAGTAACTGCGACACTCGTCACCGAAGCACTAGTAACCGGGACCGTTGTTACATAATTTTCATATTCGAATATCTATCATCATAAATAATATTAAAATAGAAGAAAACATTAATTGGTATTAGAAATTTAGAATGCATTGTTACAGCTAGAATACAGATTGCATTGAAATAAATTTAAAAAAACATCAATTGAGATAAAGTGCATTATTACACATTACAGAATAAAGACTACGGAGTGCATTTGACTATTTGTGATCAAGTGCATTGTTAATTTGTTACGCACTTAAGCTATTACGGAGTGCATTGATACGGTCCAAAAGTAAGGGTTATTTAGTAAAGTATGTTTTTATTAGTCACAATTTTGGAAGTCTAGAAAAAAGGTCTCTTTTTTGTCCATAACACATTTTTTTATAATATTTGAGCCAAAACCCCTAAACTTATTCATTGATTTATATTTATTATTGTATGCTCATCCAAAATCTTAATTGTGCTCGTTTTACAACATCATACTAATGTCCATCTAGTATAAATGTTATACTTATTAATGTATATCATAAAATTCACTTCTATATCTTCCACATGTAATGTATTCATTAGTAGTCCGCCAATTACTCCGTAATATACTTAGATTCATTTAATAAATTATCAATAAATTTATCCATGACCAATAGAATAAATTTATCAGCAATTTTATAATTCCCTATTATAAACTTACAAACTTTATTTTGTAAATTTTGTAATGTTACAGCAATACACAATTATGTTAAACATTATACTCATATTAGTATATCAAATTAGAAACTCATATTAGTCTAGATTTAAGTAATAAAAGTATAAAACCATCCAAGACCAGGGTCCAGACTTTTAATCTGTCAAATTGGTTCATTTCCTCTTGCATTGCAATAATCAAGTCCGGATTAGCCAGTGCTTCTGTCATCTTTGTTGGTTCTTTCTGACTCAGAAAACATGAGAATAAGCACTCATTGGCTGGCGCAGTTCTGGTGGTGACTCCTTTGGATGGACCACCAATGATTAGTTCTGCGGATGTGCCCTCGTCCATTTTCTCTCATGAGGAAGAGACAATGGAGTTATGATTGGTTGATCGGGATTAGCATTTTCAGGGGTTTCTTGCGCTTCAATTCAGGAGTTTCTTGCGTTCCAGATTGCTTAGGTTGTTCAGTGTGTGGTGTAGGTGGATCATGTTCACAACATAAATAAGTGGTATATATTGAAACTATCCTTCTAAACATAGACATATTTTCAATGTTTTATTAACTCTCAAACTTTATCATTGTTCTCCCTATACCAGACTTTATATGTGGATAGAGTTTTACAAGGTATATTATAACTTTTAGTTGATAATGATTAACAAACACAAGAGAACAATATATGGATAATTGCACACAACATGTGTAATGTTGTACTATATATTGAGAGTTCATATTTTTAAACTTAGTTTCAACTTTTTCATCTATTTTCAAATGTTCTCAATTTTCACGCCATGAAATGGACCAAACAATTGGGGCACTATTGCTTATGAGAAATATATAGACCATTTATTTAGGGTGACAACTCCGGTACCCTTCTAAAAAATGGGATACCGTACCTACCATTCAATTGATTGGATCACACAACTTTATCATTTTTAATTTAGATTTAAATAATTCAACTGCTACATTTTCATTGGTCCATGTGGACAAAGGTATGGTACCTTGTGGGCACCGTAGAATCTAATTTTATTTAGATTGTGCAATTGTAAACGATTTGAATCATGTGACTAGATTAAATTGGAGCCCACATTGTTGAGACTCGCATGATGATTAATTACTTGAATCATGGATTAGGTGATTAATGGATGAACATAAATGGTCAAAACTTCCAAAGAAAAAATAAACAAATAAAAAACAGAAATAATTACATAAATATGTTTAAAATAAAGATGATTTACAAAAATATGACTATCACTAATAATTTGAGCAATGAAGCATGTCACAATAACCAATTTGGGTTGACCGAGTATGAGTATCCACGGATTCATGTGTTACTACCAGCCATGTGCGTAGTAATTTACTTTTTTTAAGTTTTCCAAAAAAGCCAGTACTTGCATTGATTATGTCTTGCGATTTTAATTAGGAAATTCCGTCCGATCACCTCCATCTAGATAACCCATAACTTCATTTCAATAGCTGTTAGTGACCATAAAAGTCTTATCAGCCACCTATTTCATGGTTTCTTTAAACAAGGTACGTAATTGACTTTTAATTTGATTTCACACGTGAGTTGTTTAATAATCAAAACAAATAAGGTTAGAATTACTTTAATGACTGAATTGACTGAAATACTATACAGGGTCGTTTTAACTATTTTTCATATAATTTTTTCTTTATTTCATTAATAAAATATATTTCAAATATAATATTTTCATAATGTAAAAATTCAGTTTATTCAATCACTTTAGTTAATATTTCATTAATTTCAGCAGATTCAACCAATTCAGTCAATTTTAGTGTCAACAAATGAACTCTTAGTGACCATATCAAACCCCAAACTCTATATTAGTTAGTCAACAGCTCTCCACACAACGTCAGAGAGGAGGCTCTTACGGACCACATGCATAAAAAAAACCTAACCCCTAGGAGCGGATCTATGTAGGGAC